ATGAGGAATTCAGAAGAAGTTTAATTATCACTTACTGTTTTGATGTTTGGATTATTCAGGGGACTACATTCATTCAAAAATATTAATTGATATTACAAAAATGATGTTTTATTTTAGGTTATAAGAAAAATTGATAGTTTATGTTCTTCCATAAAGACAGGAAAACTAGAATGTATAAAAAAGAAAAGTAGATGTCACCTATAATTTCATTACCCACAAATAACATTGCTGTTAACCTTTTAATTTATATATGTATTTTGAACTATTTTATAAAAGTAGTGATTTAAAAAATGAACTATTATCATTCTATTTTTGGCATTTTTTTTTTCTGTTAGGAGGCATGATTATGTCTTTCTGTGTCACAACATACAAATCCTATATATAAAGACTTTAGAGCAGAGTCAGCAAACTTTTTTCTTAAAGGATATATAATAACTATTTTGGTTTTGTGTGCTTTATGATATCTCTCATTCTCTGTGAGTACTGGTTAGTGGAATTTTTAGAAGAATTCAAGTACACATTTATCTAACAGGTATGCATTCAGCACCTGTTAGAGTTTAGTTCACTGTGGTTTCAATGGCACATAGGCAATTAATGACCTGGGAATGGGTAAGAAAAAGGAAAATTCTGACCGAAGTTCTAGATGAGGAAAAGCTTCTTTAAAGAAAGATCTTAGTTCAGGTCTGAAGGGTGAGTACTTGTAAGCTAAGTTAAAGGGTAGCCTTAAGGAAAAGCATTGAAATTGATGCTGGGGATGAGAGGACCCATTTCAGGGTCTTGTGGCAACTTTGTCATAATGTTGCCTCATAGTTATGATTTCACCTGCTTCTCCTGAAGATTAAAGAAAACCATTTCACCATCATTGGAAGGAGACATTTTCTTAAGAAATGGTGTGCTAGGGGTTTCTTGCTTTGCTAGTTAAACCCATGCTGACAGCTAACTTGTGATTCGATTGTCAGCAACATTCCCTGAAGAGAATTCTTAATTTTTATTTATTAGGTTTTTTTCTAAGGACTTACATGTATGTAATTTTGTGAATTATTGAAAAGCTGCTTAAGAAAATCAATAGTACAATTTAATATAAACAGAAGAAATTGCTTTAGAACTTTTTAAAAATGCAGAGGCTTAAACCTTAAAATCAAGCAGTTAGGAAATACAACAACTCAAAGCAAATATAAAAAACAAATGTTATCTTTCAAGTAACAGCAAAGTAACCTTGTAACCTTGAAACATTGGTGTTGGCCCTGTATTGTTTTCTTTTTGAATTAGGTAGCACTTTACTGTGTTATATAACAGTGATGGAATTAAATGATGTTTCTAGTGAAAGAATTTTGCAAGTATAATGTGTTTTATTACTACATTCTACTTGTGCATTTAGCAATTAAAATTTTTCTTGTAATGATGATGGCATTAGAAGGGATAGGGAACTGTCAACGAGAATCTGAAGCTTAATTATCTCTTTGGTAACGAAATGCATAATCTTCCATTACAGCGCTTATTTTCTTATGGTAATTGACTCATTTGCTCTCTGGTTATCAATTTAACTTCCCTACCACAAACATCTGCTCTTACATTGTGTTTAATTGGTGTGAATACTATCCACAGAGAAATTAAAATCCAGAAAACATCTTAAAGGCATTATTTTATAATTCATGAAAGGGAAAAATAAATGATGATTTGAACATTGTGATTTCCCCCCCTAATAATTTGGAAATCTGTTTGCTAAAAATGCATACTAACATCATATTAATTTGGATGACTTTTGAAGGTTTTGTTTTCCAAAAGTTTGTAGGAAAAAGTTTATTGTGTTGTTAATTTAAAGGGACAAGTTGTTTGTATGTATGTTGTCATTTGTTTATCATTCTAAAAATTAAAGGGTAAAGCATAAAAAAGTGGCAGATGGCTACCTGTAGGAAAGTGGTAGGAAAAAGGAGGAGAAAACAGGGATAAAATGCAGGACTTGTTTGTTTGAATATACCTTATTTATAGATTTAAATTTTCATAAACAGTTCCTGAAGAGATCAAGTGAAACAAATGACTCGTTACATATGTATCTACTTGGAAGTACAGCCACCTAGAAAGTGAGAGTTCCAGGTGATAAGTATTATTCAAAATAAATTTAAAACTACTGTTAGATTGTGTATATTTAATGGGATATATTCTGAAGGTAAGGAAAACTTGTAAAAATCTTCTATGCTCTCTATTTTCATCTCATATGTAAAAATATTTTATTATGATTCTGAGACTACTTAGTGTAAGTAATATGTGAATAAGTTAATATTCTTATGAGCGGAAATTTTTTGGCATGAGGGAAGAAAAATGAAAATGTAAAGTTAATAAGTCAAGCATGGCTGTTTCACTCTTTCCCTTGTTCCCAGCAACCTCCCATTCAAGAAGTCAGGTTCATGATATGATGGGTGTTGTAGTCTTTGACACCCAAAATCTCTTCTCTGTGGAGATGGGAATCTGTAAAAATGTCAGGAGAGATAATTCGCTTAGGATATTATTCATAGCTCAGAGCTCGCTCTTTATTGTCCCTCTAACAGTTAAAGATGAAGGAAAACTATATGTCCAATTGGGAGTTCCATAGGACACCAATCAAGAAAATTTCTAAATGTCTAGGTTCCAAACATCTCCAGATAGGAGTGGGACCAGCAGACAGTGATTTCCTTGTATGCAGTTTGATGTCATAAAATAGTACAGAAACATTGGTCATGAGGATTGTCTACGCACATGATCTCTCTGAAGTTAATAAAGTTTCCATTCCCAGCTTATATGGTTTCCGAAAAAGGACAGAAGAATACAAAACTTTTTTTTTAAAAAAGATAATATTTATTTATGCCTACAGAACTGGGGTACAAGCCAAAAGTGCAGGGGCTTGTGAAAGGAAGTGGTAAAAGGATCCACCAGACTCAGAGTGGGGAGCAGAACAGGCGGATCGACAATGTACACTGCTGAGGGGAGCAGTGGGAGAGACAGGAGAGGTCTGCTGCACCATATGGGTCACTTCTTTGGATGGGAGTTTAACTTGTGCTACAGTGGCTGCAGACAGTTCATAGTGCTGCCCTTTAACCCATTGCACTACCAGCAAGGGCCCAAGAATATAAAAGTTTTTAATATTAAACTATTTTAAGTCAGTTACTTATACTGGGATATTGGGGTTGCCATTTAGAAAAACATAAAATTTAATACTCAACCTAAGTGGAGTATAGATTTCTTCATAAACATAATAGAAGAAAATATAAGTAAATATTTTTCATGGACAGAAAACTTAAAAGGAAAACCTTTGGAGTAAGAATAATAAAATGCAGATTTCAGAAAGGAAAAAATTTATACATTTTACCACATAGAAATTAAAAACTTTGGTACAAATTTACCAAGGTACCTTAAGTTAAAAGACAAGAGAAAAGCTGAAAAGAAAGTATGGGGATTTGGTCAAAAGCCAGCAATCACAACAGGAATTTAAACAAGGAAATTTAAAAAATAAATTTAACATGGATTATTAATTATTAAAAGATGTTTAACTATTGCAAAGGATAAAATAGGACACTAAAGAGTACAGAAATAGTAAATAAAAGGATCAGCTACTCTAGAATTTTGGGGAAAATTAAAAAAAAACTTGGAAGAGGACATCCCTTCCCAAGACGGCAGTCCAGACCTTAAAAAGAATGTAGCTGCTGGGCCCTCCCTGGTGGTGCAGCGGGTTAAAGCACAGCACAAAGAAGCTTAAGCCACTTCCGCATGAGTTTGATCCCTGCCTGCCCTGGAGGTGGCCACATGGCGTGGCAGACCTCTCCTGACCCGCCTGCTGCTCCCCTCAGCAGTGTACTTCGTCAATCTGCCTGTTCTGTACCCCGCTCTGTTTCTGATGAATCCTCTCACCCTCCACATTTCTGGCCTGTACCCCAGTTCTGTACAAATAAATAAGTCTTAAAAAAAAAAAAAGAATGTAGCTGCTGCCAGAAGTTAACAGCATGAGCCATTGCTGATGAGAGGAAATCACCTGCTAAATGCTACAGTTCTGAGCTGCTGTTTGGAAAGTTGCCTACTGGAATGCCATGGGCTTGACTGAAGATGAGCAAGAAGTTGATTGCTGGGGTGCCGTGAATCAGATCTGTTATCTAATGGAATGCTATAGATCAGAACTGGTACACTTGCTGTAATAAGCTGGAGAAACTTGCTTGAGGCTGTGAAGGAAATGCATGATGCGTACACCAATAATGTCCCACATACCTGTGGCTGCCAAACTATTAAGGGTGCAAGCAGAGCAAGTCTGAAATATTAAACCCTTTCCTCTGCCCTGTCAAACATGGATCCATATCAAGGATGTTACACAGGCCATTGTAGAATTGAGTGGAAAGTTCTACCTTGTCCTTTCTAATTCAGAATTTTAATTTGTTATGTTTGTGATTTAAAATGTTGGGGTAGAGGCAAAGGTAAATAAAGGAATATTTGGGCTTTTTCACCACACTAACTTTTCCTCAAAGATCCTGTCATTTTCACTCTTCCTCTTACCTTAAACCCATTTTAGGTAACAAGAGATGTTACTAGTGAGAATAACATTTATATTATTTATGTTTTTGGTTTTTTTAGTTACTAATTAGGCTGACTGCAAAGGAAGATGTTAGTCTTTTCAACTCTTTTTGAGTTTTAATTATGGCTCTTTCAAACGATATAAATCTTAGTGAAGTAGTCTTTAATATTCCTTTTTAAACACTTTAGATTACTCAGTTTTAATTTCTTCACATAGTTTAGTAAATACTTCTAATAGAAAAGCTGAGCAATTATCTTTACAATTATTCTTTGAGTTAGTCCAAAAATTAATCAGTTTTTGAAGATACTATGTTCCTAACATATTGAAAACATGTATTTGTTATATACTTCAGTAAAAAAGTGTGAAAGCCTCAAATAAGTAAGTCTGGTAATTAAAAAAAATTGCTTGAATACATAATAAAAAATTTTTATTTTCATTAACACTTCATTTTCTTTCTCTTTCAAAGTACAACCTGAATTCCTGAAGCAGCCTACTAATATATATGCTCACGAATCCATGGATATTGTATTCGAATGTGAAGTGACAGGGAAACCAACTCCAACTGTGAAGTGGGTCAAGAATGGGGATATGGTTATCCCAAGTGATTACTTTAAGATTGTAGTAAGTATTTTTCAAAGGACACTTACCTCTGAGGTCTTTAAATGTTTTTAAATGTAATCACCAAAAAAATATATGTACAATAGTTTTATATATTGAAGATAAAGACAGAAAAGTTCACACAAAATGTAATCTCTTCACTGACTGAGAGAAAACTGAACCTAGAAATATTTTGATAACTTACGTAAATCACATAGCAAGCCAGTGGTTTGACTAAACCGAAAATCCAGATCTCCTGCCATGTTACAATCTAGTACTCCTACTTAAACACAGTGGCACCTTTAAACAGAGCTGCCACCATTTTCTGGGCAATGATTACCCCTTGTGTGTTTGTACATATGTGTATGTTATGTACCAGTTTACTGCATAGCTCTCTATTTAAGGGACCAAAAATCTGCCCCTCCTTATTAGTACCCAGTGCCTTTAAGATAATCTAACCCAGTGCTGCACAATTATCATAACAGTAGATACAAAGATTCTTTAAAAAGTAAATTACAAAGTAAATGATTAATTTTAAATATATTTTAAAATATTTAACCATTATTGCTTTTAACTTTATATATAGTAGATAGTTGCTTAATAAATATTATCTGCTACTATTTATATCACTATCATCTTAGTAATAGTAATAGAGTTTTATATAGGCTTTAGTAATAAGGATTAATGGTATATCTTAAATCGCATACATGACATTCATAAACAATCAGACAGTAATTATGTTTATTGAAGGTAGTGTCTTGTTACAAATTCTCATACGAGTAATTCACTCATAGTAGTAAAATATTTTCTGTTTTTTAAATACATACATAGTCTCACAATTTAGAAAAGTGATTTGCAAGTATTTAATCTTATTAAAATGTTACTCTTATGGTTAAATTATTAGTTTTACCCTTTGTCAGTGTTTTCATAATTCTTATGATTTTTAAACTATATTGTATTATATCTATAACAATAAATATAGTTGATATTAATATAGTACTTTTTGGTTTAAGGAAAGTATATACATGGCCTCATTTAATTTATTGTAATCTAAACTGAAAAGCTAATATTAAAAACAATCTTAAGAAAATTGTCTAGAATTCACAAATCAGACTTTCATTTTGTTCACATGGTGTTGTATGGAAGACATTATTACAAGTAAAGCAGAAAGTTTGCAAACATTGTGGGTATGACTTTCCATTTCAGTTAAGTTCTTTGTTTATGTCACGCTCTTAAGTTCTTGTCAATGACGGTGTTTCCTGTTCTGGTCAAGTCATTACCTTGTCAAGACTGTAGTGTAAAATTGAGTTAGCAGGTAGATAGGGAAATAATAATATTCAGTAATTCATTCATACAGTTTTACTTGTTTTTCTTTCCCAGACAGAACATACCTTGAGATTTTCAGTTAGTCAGCATTTGAATCATAAAATTTTATTTATATTTTTCTTCTTTAGAAGGAACATAATCTTCAAGTTTTGGGTCTGGTGAAATCAGATGAAGGGTTCTATCAGTGCATTGCTGAGAATGATGTTGGAAATGCACAAGCTGGAGCCCAACTGATAATTCTTGAACATGGTAAGAGGGACTGAAATGTCAAGATGAAAGAGACTATGTTTGAGAAATTAGTACCTATTACTTCAGTAGTCCTCATAACTAATGATCTATTAGTAAAGACCAACATATGTAATTGTGAGAAAAAAAAATAGCACTCTAACTCATTTCAGTTGCATAACGTGATCTAGAAATACAATTTAGACAATGTTGAACAGAAGTCGCTATTAAGAAAAATTGTCACCTATAAACAACATTTATAGGTGACAATTGAATTATTTTAGATTTCAGTCATTAATCTCACAAACTTATTTCTGCCTTACTTAGTTTGCGTAGAATTTTTCAGTCTTTCAAAAATGAAGTTAACTTGTCTTTTCTAGTTATCATCAAAAATGTTTATTATGAATTCAGACAACTTTGAAAATTCAAAAGTGGGAAAAATCTTATATCAGTAAGGGTCAGTCCAGGGGAAAAAAATCACACAGCAATTTGAACAAAAACAAAAGAGTTACATACATGTTAATGTGAAGAATTATTAAATCAGAGGGCATTGGATTAAATAAAAGAGCATATAAGATTTTTGTATGCTGTTTTTTAAAAAATACACTTGAAAGTACTATAATAAAAGTGCAAAATTGAACTGCTTTTTCGCCCTGTATTTGTCTGCAATTATACTTTTCCCAATTTGTTAAAAAGAGTTAGTGAGGTATACCCCTTTTTCTGTTTTAGCAAAAGCCTCAGTTTGATTACTAAATAAGGTACTAACAGAAGCAAAGTGAAGTAAATAGCCTTATTTCTTTTTATTAGTGACAGTGATTTTCGTTAGTAAATTTTGTGACTCTCTTGGGGTTATTTTTGTGGCATTCATTAAAGGAACTTGGGCATACTTGTGTTTGGGGTTACCATTATAGGTTTAGCTCCAGCATAAATGGTTGGCTGTGTTTGGATGTTCCTAAACTAATCCTAATTAAAAAATGCCTGGATGCCAAAATAATTACACTCATAGTGTGTGTGTGTTCTTAAATTTTTGAGGCATCTTTCCAAAAACAGACAGTGTTTTGTGGCTGGCAAATTTTTTAGAGAGCTTGTCATGGAAGCATTAAGGATGTACAGGCTATAGAAAGGCAAGTAGTGCTGTGCTACTTATTTTGCTTTCCATTTTATTGTTTCATTTAAATTTGCAAGGTATGTGGGAAGATAAAGGAACATAATTTATAAAATATGATCTGTGCCTTTCTGGAGTTTGTAGTATTTTAAAGAATATAAGAGATGTATATATATGACTTTAATACCTGTCCATAGTTAGTATTGTTTTTATAGTACAAATAAAACAGTATAGTATACAGACAAATTAATTTTATCTTTTTTTAAGGAGGTTTATTTATGAAAAGTGTCCTCTTTATGATAGGTCTCAAATAATAGGATTTCCACATGTTAAACAGAGGACTGCTCATTATGGAAATAGGATCACTAGAGTACCTATTCCTTTTGGAAGATGAACTATACTGACAGAAAAGAATACAATTGATAATGAACTTGATTACAATAGTCAAAATAATACTTTAGTAAGGTTGTCTGATAATGCAAGTTTTATTAGAAGAAGGGGGGCAGTTCTTTGAGGTTATCTGAGTGACTAAAAGAATAGGGGTGTTTACAAAAATAGAAAAGTGTTATGAATTGAAGTGGAAGGGGACTTCTACTTGGAATGTAAATTTGAGCAAAGAAAAGAAATATATACTTTGATGTGAAGAATTTTTAAATTGGAAGGAACTAGAATAACAAAGGGTTAGTTAGAAAGAAATAAGGGTAAAATCCAATGAATATAAGAATGTCTATATAAAGAGCAAACATACTGCTAGATCTAGGAAAGGATGAGGTCCCATGAGGACTGACATTCACACCTTGTTGGTTAGGAAGGTGTAGTCATCATTTACTAGATAACAGAAGTTAGTGTGCTACTGCGCAGTGCGGTAAAAACTTGCTCAAAAGTCACTATCAGTGTGCTGATCAGAACTCTTCACAGGGAGTTGTCACCCTCAAAATATTATACAGACCCCTGAGAACAGGTAGTATAAATGACTGAAACTTCAGGAACCTTCACAAAGAAACAAAGCAGGCTGTAGTGGTTTAATATATACATACCTAGATGTATTACATACATATATACACATATACATATATATGTACGATTAATCTCTTGTTTCTAATAAGAGGTAATTGGTTATCTGGAGAAGGATCTACAAACTTTTCTTGTAAAGACTAAATAGTAAATTAGTTATCTTTCTGGGCCACTGTTTAGCTCTGCCATTGGAACATGAAATCTGCCATATAAGTCAAACAGCCTTGACTACTACAGCAAACCTTTATTTACAAAAACAGATGGCAAATCCTAGTTTACTGACTTGTGGTCTAAAAAAGTAAAACATGCACAATTAAAATGTGTGACAAAAAGCAGAACAGAATATGGTAAAATTGAGATCAATTTAAGATTCTCATATTACTATCAAATCAGGTGAAAATATTTGAAGTACATCACGGCATGTTAAAGGTGGATATTATAGACCTTAGGGAATCCACTATAAAATAGAGAAAGGAATTTGATTAGTAAGTGAATAATGGAAATACCATGGAATCAAAAACTGCACTCAATACAAGAACAGTGAGGGGGAAAAAAAGGAACAGAATAAATAGGACACTTTAAAAACTAGTAAGATGGTATATTTAATTCTTCTCTCTTAATAATTACACTAAATGTAAATTATTCTGGACTGCAAAACAAGTCCCAACACATTTACCATGATTTAAATAATCCAAAATAACATTTGTTGACCTCAGCAGCATTAAATTGAAAATCAATAATAGATACTTAGAAAATCCTCAAATATTTTGGAAATTAAACATCCTTATAATTATCCACATGTCAAATAACAGATCACACAGGAAACTATTTTAAACTGAAAATGAAAAGGGAGCTCATGAGTATTTTTAGAATGCAGCTAAAGTCTTGTTTTGAGGAAAATTTTTTTAGATTAGATCACAGAGAAATTAAAGTATTCAGAAAGAGAACAGAAATAAATAAAATGGAAAATAGTCAATAAATGAAAACAAGAACTGGTTCTTTAAACAGGTGAGTTAAATTGGAATATGTTTAACCAGGCTAATACTACACAAATTGTCAGTGTCAGGAATGAAAAAATGACTATTACTATTGACCTATCAACTTTAGGAGGATTATCAGGAACTGTTATGACACATTTATTTCTTGAAAAAAAAAAAAAACTAATAGTTCTGATTTGTTTAGGGAGGTAAGACATAAGTTTAAGATGTATAGCAGAAAAAGCAGATTTTAAAATGTCTAGAAGCAAGGCAATGTATGTCAGATGGTTAGAAAAGAGGTTGAGGAGGAAACAAGCTGATTTTGATTTCGATATATGATGTAAACCAAACTTTTCTGTTGCAACAAACTGTAGTGAGTGTTGTGTTACAGTGATTGCTTTTGTTTTGTGTTAGTCTTCCACACTACTGAAGGTTAGACTCTTCAACCTCTTCAGTAAATGGAATTATAAGGGGTCATATATTATCTAGTCTTGGATCTCTGTTTTCAGATGCATCTCAGTCACCCAAAATTCATGTCTTTTCAAAGATCTCTGTAGACATCATCTCTAATAATATTTTCATGTGGTTTTTGCCATGTTTTCTACTTGCACTCAAAACTTTCACCCTTGTTTGTACCTTAGACACCACTATTTTCTGTGGATTTATACCTCAGTGTATAGATAGCACATATTCTGTTACTGTATTTTTTTCTTCACATCAATTCCAGTGAAATACCTTGTTCTGCTGACTTTTAAAAAAACTTGCCTTTAGTCTCAGTCTGATGCATTATGTTTGAAAAATAGATGGCTTTAAAAAGCTGGAAAATTATATTCTGTGAAATAAGTCAGAAAGAAAAAGAATGATTTCACTTGTAGGAGGAATATAGAGGATCTAGGAAAAAAATAAACAGACAACTTAAATCAAAGATATTCTTTGGGGAGGGGTAAGGTAGGGTTAAAGGGGTGCAGGAAGAGTACAAGGGACCCTGGAGAGGGTGCACAGGTGAATTGGTGTGGGGACTGTATCTGAGAAAAGAAAGCAAATGTACAAAAATGAGCAATGATGTAAAATATATATACATAAATAAATTATATATTTAATGAAAAACGAAACGAGCAGAAATAGCATTTTGAAATTTCTGAATGTATGATAAAGTTTAATCACAAACCAGTGTGATCATACATTACAGGAATACAAATTATTTGGTGATTTGGAAAGAAATTTATTCACCTTATAAAATAAGTAAAATATGGAGAGTTAAAATTTATTGAATCCATGAAAAGTTTGAAAGATGATGGAATCGTGTTACCATCTGTTTCTACATGTAAAATAGAGTACAGATGAAAACTTTGGTATTTTAGGGTGTAAAAATTTAAATCATTTGTATATGAGAAATACTTTAAATTTAGGAGGCAAATTATGAAATGTTACAAGAATTATGAAATGTTACAAGAAAATTATGAAATGTTACAAGAATTACAGAAATTTTATATCCTAAATATAACAGGATTACAGGTCTATGACAGAAATTTAATATCCTAAATATAACAGGATTACAGGTCTATGACAGAAATTTAATATCCTAAATATAACAGGATTACAGATCTATGACAAAATGACATGCAAATAGATTAGACAGGCATATAGATTAAATATAAAGTTAAATCTTACATCAGTGAGATTTTATTTTTACTTAATAAATTTTATCTTTTATATCTTTATAGTGCTATTTAATAATGATTCATGTCTTTGAAAATGTAAATTGCTACATAATTTACTGAAGCCGTTTTAACAATTATATCTTAAAAATTACTGACTCATCCATAATTGTTCTTTAGAATTTTTTTCTAGGGAAGTTTCAAAGACTGTCAATATCAACATTAGTAACATCAAAAGAGATAGTGATAAAGAATAGGAACTGATTAAAT